CACGAGTAGAGGATCAGGATCAGGCAAGGCAGGTCAGCAGGAAGGGGATGAGGGACGCGGCAGCGGCGAGATGTGCGCATTTCTTGGTTTCAGCCAGCAGGCCTGGAAACGGACGGGCGGGTTGGGCGGGTGAGTCCGGCTCGGGTCGTCGCTCCCGGGGGGCCCCACGTCGGGGCGGGCAGGCGGCTGGACCCGCGGCCCCGCCCCGCTATGCCCAGCTGGACCGATGGAAGGTTTGCTCTGGTACCGGGTGGGTGTCTCTCGCCTAATCCCTGTCGGATAGGGTACTCCGGGGCTCGGCTAGACCGGAAGGTGAAGAACAGAAACGCCGGGCGCGGGGAGGAGCGGGGGCCTGCCCCGACACCACCCCGCTCCTCCCCGCGCCCGGGCGTTTATGTTCTTCACCTTCCGGTCTAGCCGAGCCCCGGAATACCCTATGCGATGGTTTTCGCGAGGTGGGGGAAGTTAGCTAACGGTACAAGAACATTAGCACATGTTTGCGCGTCCCGCCGGCACTGTTGCCTCGGTGCCTCTGTCTTTTGTCGCACCATGCCGCTTTGTCGGGCAGGGGTGGGGTACCGAGGACCGACCGGGGGGCCGCGCGGGGGAGGGTTGGGGGGGGGGGGTATCTCCAGTCCCCTGCAACATTACCTGCCGCGAAGGCCGCGGAGACCACTATTAAGGCCCCGCGAGGACATACACCGCGGCCTGTCCTGACGCTGCGTAAAGGAGAGGTGGCCACGCTAGCTCTTGGGCTCCTTCCCTGCGACCACGGTGTTAATGAACATACAAAGACAACCAAAAGCAAAGGCTCGCCGATCTGCCAACGATGGGCGAATCGGCCCGATCTCTCACGGGCTCTCTCGGGCTGCTCGTGTCTAGAGCGACAGAGAAGAGCGCTTCCCACGTGGGTGCGAGAGAGATGACAAGGTGTCCCGCTTTCCGCGGGGGCGCGCCTCGCCTCGCCCTCGCCACCCCCGCGGCTGAGCAAAACTGCGCAGAGAGGTGCGCTGCCTCTCATCCCACTCGCCCACGCTCTCGTCCCAGCCCGGGCGCCGTTTTGCTCAGCCGCGGGGGTGGCGAGGGCGAGGCGAGGCGCGCCCCCGCGGAAAGCGGGACACCTTGTCATCTCTCTCGCACCCACTGGCGCATGACGAACCGAAGGCGGCGGCGCACGGCGCAGAAGCTTGCGTTGTAGGCAATCCGTGGTGGGCCGGCCCGACATGCGGCATTGTCGGAATCTATCGGAGGTCGCATTTTTATCGGAGTAATAGACCATTTCACCCGAGCCCTGTTCGATACATCGAAGAACAAAAATACCGGAAGTCGGGCGCTAGGTGTATCGTTTCTTTGCGTTTAACGGGACCGTTTGAAGCGGTTTGTGCTCTGAAAGTATATTTTCGACTAAATTTAGGGCGAGGAAAAGTAATATGTAAGTTACATTGCCCACAAACCTCTATCAAGAGTGGCACGGGAGCTTGACTTCCGGTATTTTTGTTCTTCGATATGTCGAACCGCCGACGGGTGAAATGGTCTATTGTCCGACATCCGATTTCGGGTTTTTGTCGGATTTTGCACCATACCGTCGGAGCATTTCGGAATAATCTCGGGTTTTGTGGGCCCGGCCTACCATCTACCCACCACACGATGTAGAAAACCCTTCCCCACCTCCCCTCTCGCCGCCACTCGCCGCCACCGCATCTTCACCTGTCAATCAGGCAGGCGGGTACCCGGAGGGGCGGATTACCCCAGCTGGACTGACGCAGCGCTGCGGCGGTGCCGCTTTTGGCGATGTTTTAAGCGCACGGAAAAAAAATACGTACGATGTTGTAGCTCAACGTTAGCTGACCTGGCACCAGCTAAGATTTTAAGCTCCCAGAACTAAACATTTGCTGTCGTAGCTGAGTATTAGCTGCGTGAGCTAATGCACAGCCAAACCAACTACGGGCTTTCTCTGGTACAGCTTACACCCATTAGATGATTTGGATAGCGCGTTAGCTCTCACAGCTCATGCGTGGCTACCGTAGCAAACGTTTAGTTCTCAGAGCTAAAAACGTTAGCTGGTGCCAGGACAGCAAACATATAAGCTATTTTAGCTAATCAGTAGCTAGTGCAACTTATTTATTTTTTTCCGTGCGAGTGTGCCGCCACCGGGGTTTCCTACATCGTGACCGGCCAATTCTGTGTATACACCGGATTACCCCTCAGCCTCGGCTTCCTTCCCCCTGCCTGCCTCTAGGTCTGCCTCTGCACGCTGCACTCGAACTACGCACACAGCAGGTCAACCGAGCCCAGCCCCCAGCCTAAGGTGTACTTAATAGAGATAGGTGAACGCAAGCGGGCAGTGGGATCCTTCGCGCCACATGCGCAGTACGCTCTGTGCAGGCTCTGTGCAGGCTCTGCGCAGGCTCTGCGCAGGCTCTGCGCAGCCCGAGCGAGCCGCCGAGGCCGGTGCGCGATCTGGCCTCCCAGCCCAGCCCAAGTCTCCCGACCGCGGGGGGGAACTCTTATGGAGCGCAGTGGACCACCGTGCGAGTGAGACAGAGATATCCCACACGATCCTGTAGTGCCAACCTCTGCACGCCAAAACGAGCACACACCTCCCGGCAGCCACAAGAGCGCGCTGGACCAGCCTCGCCCTCGCGCTGGCCTCCGCTGGCCGGGAAAATGAGCTAAACTAAACTTGTCATTTAAACCGTTTCAGAAATAGTGAGCAAAATTTAATTTCGTGTGATGTATAGATGATGGTGTCCACGTCCACTATAATATATCCGAAATTCAGAATTAGATGTCTCAATGGAGGCGAGTGGCAAGAAGAAGATTGAAAGAGACCCCATTTCTTTTAACGGTTGCCGTGGGTGAACGGTTCGAGAAAAACATATCCCGACTGATCAGTTTGCTTAAGCTAAGGGCCTAGGTATCTCCTGCTAAAGAGATCAGCTGATTATTGCAAAAATGTCCACGTTTTGCAATTTGTGTATTTCATAAAATTTACAAAAAGATTAAGCCTTTATAGTTCTCGACCTATCGGTCACAGACAAATTTCGATGTTGGAAACATTGTAGAGAATAATATATTCTTCAAAACGAGTATGCGTTGAGCTTTATCCGTAGCGAAGTGTTCATACAGCACCGTGTCAAAGGTCCTGCCGGAGCCGTCCGGAGCACCTCTGCGCTCTGCCGCACGCTTCGCCGAGGCCGCGCGCCCGCGGTTATAATTGCGTACCAGCTAAAGCAATTGCATTGAAGAGATGAAATTATTCGTACCGTGTAGACTGAGCGCAGCTGCGCTCCCCCGTGGTCAAGAGGCCCGTGGGCGCGCCCGTCACCCAGCAGGGCTGGCTGCACAAGCAGGGCAGCGAGGGGCTTATGCTGTGGAAAAAGCGCTGGTTCGTCCTCTGCGACTACTGCCTCTTCTACTACAAGGGTGAGTGTAGGGATTTAAATTTTCCGGAGAAATACATGTGAGAAAAATCTCCGAGAATTTCAATTGTTTCCTAAAAACTTGAAAAGACTGGAAAAATTAAATTTTTCCTATTTTCTCTGCTCTGGAAAAATTATTTTTTTTCTATTTTCTCTGGAAAAATTTCGAATTTTTCCGGGAAAACTTGTGAGTGTCTGTGGTGGGTTCAAAATTACGCGCCACCACCGTGGTGTCACCGGGAGGGAAGGTGCCAACTGTGCCAACCCCCATCTCACTCGCGAGTTCTAGTGCCGCCCAAGTCGAGCCGCCAGATGAGTGTCCGCAAAAAAGATGTAACAGAATTTAGCCTCGTATTCGAAATTTTGTGAGCTGTGCATAAATTTAAAGTATAGTTGGAGTCGAGGTTCCTCTTTTCAGAGGTTGGCGCTCTTACATTTTTGCAGGTCCTTGACCCTAAGTTCGGTGGCTTTCTGCTTGTTGACAATTTCTTGCTCGTTTAATATTTTCATTTAGAACTGTTTTGAATTGAAAAAAGTGCATTGTTGCAACTTATCTCAAACAAGAAAATATTCAGTTTTCATTTTTAATTTTTTAGCCAATTTCGTATCGGCTAAATACCTCATTCAGCACATCTGATATGGAGGTTAGCAATCTCCCAAAATCTTTGCGTGTAAAACCACCTAGTTTTTTGGTTTTTTCATTGCAAATTTTGTAACTCATTTTATTACTCAGCTAGATTTACTTTCATTACGTGTTAAGTTAATTCTCATTCGTAGTATTAATGATTGGATTTTTTTGCGTATTTCAGGACCAGAAGAAGAAAAGCTGCTTGGGTCTATTCTGCTTCCCTCTTACACCATATCACCATGCACACCTCAAGTTGATCGAGTTTACAGGAAGTTCAGCTTCAAAGCAGAACACGCCAACATGCGGACGTACTACTTTGCTGCTGACACTCAGGAGATTATGCTGCAATGGATGCATTGCATGAGCCTTGCTTCTGTCTTGCAGGATCGACCAACTAGGTAAATTTATTTTGTTAAACCTTTTTCTCGTGCTTTCTCTGGCTCTTTTCTTGAGAGGGTAGCAAAGCTAAGCTTGAAACACAAACTTTTTTGTGCTGCTCCCAGAGAGGAATCTTATCAAATTGATTATGACACTATTCATTGGTATGTACAGTATGTATAACCTGCTCAACGAATAATACAAACCCTGTGTTGGGTCTATCTCTATCCTGTACTTTTCAAACCATTTAATACCTCAACTAATCTTATTCGTTGATTATTTTAGCTATGAGGATCCTCGTGTGATCACTCACCAACCAACTAATGCTCAACACAGTCCTGGTGATGAAAGTGATGCTGGATTTGGCACCTGTCGACCAAGGTTAGCTGTTTCTGGAAGCATGAATGGATGGCAGAGCCCCCTTCTGCAGCAGCAGCAACAGCAGCAGCAACAACAACTTAATGCTCTTGATGATCGTAGCTTTCATCATCACCTGTATGCCAATGCTCCGCCCAAGCCTAGGCGCCTGGCTAATGAAGACATGGGCTCCTCCAGCGAACAGTCACCGGAACATCACCAGAATTTAGGAGCACAGCCTCAGCAACCGCCTCGACTGATGCAATCGAACTATCAGTTCAACCCAGCTGCAATGCCACAAGTCCAGTCACGCCTTGTTATGTCCCCTAACAATGCAGAGCGACGGACTCCTGACACATACAGCCGTCCTGCAGGATCAATGCAGGCCACTCTAAACAATAAAGTCAAGCCAACTGATTATGAAGACATCTATAATAGTGAACGGAGGCAGATGGAAAACCAGTCATGGACTAATAAGTTTGGACAGCAGGCCTATCTTCAAACTGGTGGCCAGAGCGCAACTATTATTACTAAAGGATATGAAGCAACTTACAATTCACGCCCTGAAGAAAAGCAGCAACTAACACTTCTTGGACAGAGTCCTCGTAAACAACCACCAAGGCCACACAGTGCTGATTTCCTTGATTATGATGCTCGCAGGTACATACTAAAGCCATAATATAATTTTCACAAACAATTTTTCTCTGCTTCTAAAAAATTTGAACCCTTTCTTTTATTCTTTTAATTTGTTTATTTTGCAGACATGAGGATGGCATGGATATCACCAAAAGTCCAGAACCACAAGTAAGAGGGTCCAGATCTCAGCTTAATTCGCAACCCCCACGTCCAAAGTCAAGTCTTGATATCATGCGTGATCCTGACAATCTGTATTGGTCAGAAGAAGGCTATGCTCAGAAAATGCGTCAGTCAGCTTATCTTCTCCAGCAGGGCCCTGGTGGTGCTCTTCCCAACCCACAAGCCCCCAGTCGTAGTAATTTCCCATCCTTTTCAAACATGCTCCAATCCCAAAGCTCCTCTAGAGTCGCTGAGCTTGCTGCTAATCGAGTTCTCTCCCCCTCTGCTGAACTTTTAAGGGTAATTAGAAATAATACTTGTTTTTTGAACAATAAGAGAAGAGTGCCCTTCCCCATTGTCTAAAGCAATTGTGAAATTAGTAAAAGCCACATTTAATAACAACGCGTTTTATTCCATGTTCTTTAGGAGAGTGAACAGCAGCACATTTTGAACATGCAACGAAGACAACAGCAGCTTCTTGAGGAGCAAAAGGTATTACAGCAGCAGTTAGAGTACCAGAAACAGCAGAGCCAGCAGGAACAGCTGCAAAGGCAGCAGATTGAGGAGGAAGAGGAGCGACAGCTTCTATCATACTATTCAGAGATGCAGTCGCCAATGACACAACAACCTTTCATGCGATCAGCCAGTGCTCGACTTCCTCGTCAGAAATATGACAGTGAGAGGGATGATGAGGAGGAAGGGTTCAAACAGAGAAGAAATAGTGGAAGTGGCAGTGGACTGTATTCTCACAGGCGATCAGGTGCTGAGTATGGAAGTCAAAAGTTTCAACAGGTTTGTACTTAAATATCTTAACATAATTTTAAAAATTAAATTCACAATTGGATTTGTCTGTGTCTTATGGTGTAGAGAGTGAGTTGCAAATGTTTACTTGTTAACAGTACTCTGCTGTAAGCACCACACCAGACTTATCCACCCCTTCCTCCCTAGAGGCAACTACACCAGTTCGTATTCCTCTAGTGGAAACTGATTTGCTATGCACCTTTTATGTAACATTAGAGTTTTTAAAAACTTGTCTTTTATGTTCTTCAGCGTGAGGAGTCAATGAAGCGTCTGCTGGAATGGAAGCAACGCATGTTGCAGTCTCCTCTGGCACGCAAGCCGTCTGGTTCTGCAACAAGAGGTGTAAACTCAGCCCAAAACCAACTTTCTAATTATTATAAGCAGCAAGCACTACGTGAACTTGCTGATCAAGAGCGTAGGGCACAAGGCTTGTCAAGGCACCTCAGTCAAGATGCACTTCATGATGGGCCTTACAGGTTGGTAGTCTGGTGTAGATTTGTACTTTGCCATAGTACAGTATGAGTGACACATTTCTATCATTATTGTGTGTTACCTTGAGCAGCTCAAAGCTAATGGATATGCAAGCTCTGGTGGATGACCAGGCAGGATCAGTACCTTGGAGCACTGAAATGCTAGATTCCCAAGAGGCTGCAGATTTCCTTGCCCAGAAAAGTCAGGAAGATTCTGGGAAAATGTCTCGGAGTCGAAGTCAAGATGGGCGCAGGTCTTCTGCATCCAATAGATACACAAGTTACTCCTCAGATGAAGACAGTAAGTTTTATCTCTAAGACCCTCAAGCTTCTTTTAATATATTATCCAAAGTGTTTCGTGTTGATGAAGGTTTATGCAGATGGTTGTGATCAAGGCACTACAATTTTTTTGCATCTGTCTGACTCAATTACTGTATTTATTAATCAGAGGCTCATTTGAAATAAATGAAACAGCCTCAACAGTATGACTTTTGACTTTATGACTTCAAAAATGTGGTGGCTGGCCAGAGGTGTGCGTTCGTGGTGTATGGTGTGTAGTTTAACCCTGTTGTTACAAACTCTAATTTTTGTGTGTTTTATAATGGTGGTTGGATGGCACTAGTTGCATGATTTGCTTTAATCTGCCAATTTTGCCTTGCGAACTGTTCATCTTTAATTTGCCTGCATGATAGTTTGTTTTTTTCATCTCAATGGATTTTTGTTGTAGTAAGAGCATGGAATGATAAAACTTTACTCAATTATAGTTGATATGATGTGGCCAAGCTGATGTACTGCATGTCATTTACATGAGCATTTGTGAAAGGCCATTGTGCAATATAATTTTCTTCCCTTATTTACTTGAGATATATGACCAGACTTATATCCACATTGAAGTTACTCAGGTACTGATACCTGATCTGATTCTGTGCAGTCATTTCTGAATATGCTAATCTGAGCTCTTTTGCATGAATGATTTGATCATTTACATTTGCCATTTAAAAGAAATTGAACTTCAAATCCTGTCCATATCTAAGTGGTTTCTTCTTTTTTAAAAGCTCTTTGAATTAAATGGTGAATAATGAATAAGTGTTTAGGACTAGATAGTGCATCATACTGAATATAAATTTAATTATAATCAATTAATTGGTTCTTATGTGCTCAAATTGACTCAAATCCACTAATTGTTTTTAAATTGGGAATGAACTGTATGTTCCTTGTAACATTTTATATATTTAAATAGTGTCTTTATTCACCGTTCCTAACTATTATGGCTCAAACATTGAAGTTGCTTGCCGTAAAGGTTGTAATCTTTATTTCTTTAATTTGTTTCAACATGCAAAATTCTTTCTTTTTCTCCCTGAATGATGAAAGTCGTGGTTTAGTCTTAACTGTGTACATGACAGGTGGCCCTCTCTCACTTTGCACTTCCCTGTCTTTGTCACTTGTAGTTGGAGACGCCCGTGAGTCCCGCAAACGGTCCCGGAGACCATCCCAGTCAAACAGATCAAGGCGCAGCAGTACTGAGGAGAAGATTTCCCGGAAAGCTGTGTCTTTTGAATCCCCCACCGGTGGAGAAGAAGCACGGAACAATTTCCAGCATGGAAACAGTCAGTTAGCTGACACTGACACATCAAGAGATATCAGTCAGAGAGGATATAATGAATGGAATAATACGGTGGAAAGGCTTAGTAATATGGAGACTTCCTCAAGGAGCATGGAAAGTCACCGTGGACTGTATGAAGACCGGTACTTCTCTGGGAAGTGCTCTGACAGTGGTTATGATACCCTTCAGAATGGAGTAGGATTCAATACTGGAACTGATACGCTTCACAGAAGCCATTTAAGATTAAAACCACAAGGACTGGAACAACAACTGAGTCCACAAAAACATTCATCTTCCTGTAATTCTGAAACAAAACTGGATGAAACAGCAATCGTCAAGGAATTTTCATTTCAGTATGTGAAGAATAAAACGCAAAACAATCCTAATTTACTAGAAGGAACTAAATCTCTGTCTAGAAATTTAGTTTCAAATCGAAAAAAAATGTTTGAGGACCAGCTTTGCCCAAGTGGAGGTTCTCAGGGATCATTAGAATATTTAAATGAAATTCCTGAACACCAAATTCGCTCAAGATCAATTCTGATCAATTTTGTCTTTGGTGACGATTCCTTCAAGGAACTAAGGAACCAGTTATGGAGGAACCAAAGTACCCCAAATCTGTCAAAGATCTACTAGCAGACTTTGAGAGGAAGTCAAAGTTAGCTAAAGAGAAAGCTGCTGAACTCGAACGGAAGTCTGAAGAAGAAGCAAGGAGATACGTCTTCAGTGACACTGAAACCTTAATGTATGACACCTCAAGTGATCCTGAACTGTTGACAGAGCCTTCCACCCTCAAAAATCGCCGTTTTGCTGTTCAGTCAAACAAATTTCCCCATGAAGAAGAGGAGGATGGCGAAGTTGCAGCTGCTCTTGGGAGAAGGGAACAATTTGTGAGTGCCTGTCGAGACTTGGGCAAGAAGAAAGGCGATGACTACAGAGACTCCAAACACTTTGCGATGCCGACCGCCTCGGACTGCAGCACCCCCCCTCTCCCCAAGGCCGCCGAGGAGAGGATCCGGGAGTGTCAGACCCCCGACATGGCGACCATGCACACCGCGGAGGCGGTCAACAACGAACAGTTTCAGTTCAGCGACCAGGCCGCGGAGGAGCACTACCTGCCCATGACGCCCTCCAAGAGGATCCCCTCCGACTCGGCCATGTTCAGCCACTCCTCCTCGACGCTGTTCGAGACGGAGGAGAACTCGTACGTGGAGATGACGACGGGGGGCCTCTCCCGGTCGCTGCTGGCGCCCAATGGCGGCGGCCTCTTCAGCCCGGGCTTCTCCGGCAATGCCAACAGGAACATCCTGGCCGGCAGCCTCCTGGCCCCGGACAGCGCGTTCGGCACGTACGGCGCTGCGGGGCAGTCGCACTACGAGCTCATGTACCGAGGCGGCCACGAGCCGCTGTACATGGAGGTGAGCTCCACGTCAGACCTGGCGGCCTCCAAGCAGGACGAGGCGCAGGACCTGCCGCCCCCGCACCACGCCCGGCAGTACAGCAACTGCTCCGCGCACCGCGCTACTCCCACCCGCACGCCCGACACTCAGTCTATGGCCAACGAGGACACCATCTTGGACAACATTCCGCCTACCCCGCCGCGGCTCAGCCTCCCGGACATCCTCAACTCGTCCACCTCCTCCTTCCAGCAGCAGAAGACGTCCATCAAGTCGGAGAGCTCCGACGCGGACGACGAGGCCTCCAAGGACCTCGACTCCTTGGACACCTCCCGACACAAGCGCTTCAGCCTCTCGGACACGTTCAGCCCCGCGTCCTACTACCTGGGGGCCAGCCTGGGCGCCAGCCGCGGCCCCGACCGGGGCAGGGCGGCCACGGACATGCCGCCCTTCTTGGGGGAGGCCAGCAGCGCCAACGAGCACCACGAATTTTCTGACAGCGAGCTGGTGTCGCCGCCGCCCATCCCTACGAGTCCGCCGCCCCTCGACGACCTGGACACGTCGCTGGACATCCACGACTCTTCGCTGGACGTCGCCAACAAGAGCAGACTGTCACCCATCCACTCCAAGACCAACAGCATCGCCAGTCAGTCGTCGGTCGCTGAGCCGCCTGCGCAGCAGCAGCCTGACCCCCACGGAGGCGGAAGCAACGGCGGTAGCTTCGACCAGGGCTCAAGGTCGACCACCACGTCCGCCATGGCCTCGGTGGGGGCGGGGGCGGAGCAGCAGGAGCGACCCCAGTCTAGGGCAGGACCTCCAGGACCTCCGCAGGAGGCGCGGCAGGAACAACCGCAGCAGGGCGACCACCAGGGCGACCACCAGGGCGACCAGCACGGCGACCAGCACGGCGACCAGCAGGCGGGCGCGCCGTACTACTACTCGGACCTGCGGCGGGACCAGGGCGGCGCCGAGGAAGCGGCCCTGGCCGCGGGGGGGCTGGCGGCGGCCGCGGAGCGCGAGCGCAGCCTGGCCGCGGCGCGCACGCAGAGCTCGGGGCGTTCGAGGCTGCAGCCGCTCAACAACCAGCGCAGCAACAACCAGCCCCAGCGGCGGGGCGAACGCACCGACGCCCAGCACCTCGACGTCAAGCGTAACGACGTGGGCCGCAAGGTGAACCCCATCCGCAGCCCGTCGGGGGGGCCGGCCAGCGCCGCAGTCCAGCCTGGTGAGTGGCGGTCAGTCGGGGGCCGACATGTGGGAGGAGGACACGCTGTGGCGGGAGAGCCTGCGCCACGTCAGCCTGCGCCACGTCAGCCTGCGCCACACCCGCTCCCTCGACAACCTGGACGACGGCCCCGCCGCGCCGGCCCTCCGACTCCGACCACACCCACGACGCCGACCTTTCCAGCAGCCGCCGTGGCCCCCGTGGCCATGAGGGCTCCCCGTCCTGGGGCGCTGTACGCGAGTGCTCGACGGCGCAGCGAGCCGCCCAGGGCACAGCCGGGGCCCGGGCGCAGCGCGGTCGCCAAGGCCGCCAAGCACTACGAGGACTACCGGGAGACACGCGCCCCGCCCGACGACCGGGACGACGGCGTGCACTACGAGCGGCTCGCCAGGTTCACGTCGGAGAGCCTCGAGCGCACGCGGCGAGGGCAAACCTACCTGGACGGCTACGTCTGGGACGAGGACCAGGAGACGTTCAGGGTGCAACAGCAACAGCAGGAGCATCAGCAGCAACAGCGACACCAACCCACCAAGAACAGCAACAACGTGCCCAAGATGAAGCCTTTTTTAGAGATTGGCCCGCCTCCGTCCACCCAGGTCCAGGTCCAGGTCGGTGGGGGGGCGGGGTCACATGCTCGGGGCCGCTCGCGGGCGTTCACGGCCGAGGCGGAGCAGTCCCAGTCCGTGGACCAGCGTCAGCAGCGGCAGGCGGGCTCAGCACCAGTGGGTACGTGATGCACAGCAACGGCTGACGCAGGGGAACCAACTATTCATTTTTATTTCTGTGTACTTGGCCCTAACTTTGATGTATTCTACAAAAAACACCCATGCAATTTCATTCCTAATTTGCACATTTCTGTAGATATTTTTCTCACATTCGCACAGATAAATGTATTGTTCCTTACACAGCACCTTTTTTTGGTTGCACATTCACCCAATTTTCTATGATTTTAACGTTACCTTGTCATTGTGGGTCTTTTGTAAATTTTGCATTGCTGCAAAGTAGAAATGTGTGCTGGATCTTTGCTTTCACAATAACTGATATCATTGTGTGTGAGTTTGTGTGAGTTTATATTGGGCACTGAAAGTTTGTATTTGCTTCCGCCCTGGGTCTAAATTTGATGACTTGCACGAGAGTTAGATCTTAATACTGCAGTAGGCTTTAAAATATTTAATTTAAACTGATCAAATATTATCATCAGATAGAGGAGGTAGCATTGCTGTACGCACTTGAAAGTATCGGATTGCTTTCTGATATTTTTTAAGAGTAGCCATAAGATACATGACACCATACACCACGACCACACCCATTCATGTGCCAGACGCCGGGCCCAACAGCATCAGTCTGACCATGGCTGTTTCATTTCCTGTCCCATAGTGTCCATGTCCCTGTCAGCAGCCGGCTCGGCGCGGGATTTTGTGGGCCAGGTGCCGGGGCTGGGGCAGGGGGCTGGGCCTGGGGCTCAGCCAGCAGCACCTGGGGCTCAGTCAGCCGCACCTGGGGCTCAGCCAACCGCACCTGGGGCTCAGCCA